GTCTGTTTGCCATCATTAGCCGTGAAGATCGGCGGGGGCGGGCGGACTCAGTGCACTTCCCACAAAGCATTAACAGCTAATCACTGGTGAACACGGCACAGAACTTGGCAAGACAAGTTGTATAAACACGTGACACGTCACGTTTCTGATAAGAGAATAATATGCAGTTGGCGTGTGTCATCTGCTCAAGTCGCTTGAGCGTCGACACACCGGCAACTTGGCATTCCGAGTCTCGCTGTGTCCACTCTGAACCATCCTCAGCAGCCAGTACAGTCATCAGCCCTTTGGGGAGAGGAAAAGCACAGGGGATGGTGGGCAGTAAAGGCTGACGCAAAGCGCCGGATTCCACATTCACTCTTGTTAATGTTTCAGCTAGTTCAACTGTGGGCTTTTTCCAGAAATGATCCATAACCCACATAAACCATTCCGGCATTTTAATGATGGTCCTTTTAAAGTGGCAAAGCTCAAGCTTAGAGTTTGGAATTTAAAGTTCATGGATGGGATTAGAATCCATCCAAAAGGTTTATGTCAACTATTTCAACGCGTAAAGTATATTTTTGCAACTTTACTGTTGAAAAAAAATAAATTTTGGATATTCATTCATAATATCTGTCATGACCCTGCTGGGGAATTTCTTGGCAGTTCTGTCAAACCAAACTGATATCAGGGACGCTTCTCTGTCCTCACTGGAGTCTCTGGAATCACCAGAGACTATTTGACTTTTCGCTTCTTAAAATACTGGCCACAACAGTCAGAAAGTTTGTTTCCCTTTGACATTTGTACTCTGAAAGTCATTTAATTTCTCCTTGTGTACAATTCTATCCAATCTTCAATTCAGTTTTTCAAAATTGTTTTTTTCCTTTCTGTAGGGTTCTACTTTGTGACTTGTCTTCAGCAGATAGCAAGCCTCTCAATTTAGAGATTGTGAACTGTCTCTGACTGGAGAACAAAAGCTAACACCTTCAACAGCCTAACGTCAGGTCGATTTGAACAAATGGCTTATCATGGATCTTCTTTCACAGATTCCATCAATGACAAGTTCTGCACACTTGAGTCTTCATAACAACAAACAAGTCCCCACTTTAAGTGGCGATCTCCGGACAACCATGATTTAATTTAATGGTGGTCAAATAAAAAAGATGGTGCATAATTAATGGGAATGATGAGCCACTTCATTAGACTGGTTTGTGACTGCCATCGGTCTGGATGCTGTCAAAGGGACAACACAGATCCACAAAGACATGAAGAAAGCTGCGAGCTGGCTCATTTTGTTCCAGGCCGGCTAAAGTTATACGGAGGCCCTGAGCTCCTCTGGCTGTCGTTATGTTCTGCTAAATCTTCTGCTTCCATTAACCGTTTTGTAATCAAATTGGCAATGAAGGAGAATTATGAAGCGAAAATGCAGTAGATCTTGGCTTAAAGCAGTCAATCAGTCTTCTTTCTCCACAAAAGAATAAACTCGATTTGCTCCTTTGTTGTACATATATGTGATGATTCCTTCTCTGAGGTCCTTTTCAGCACTTCCTCACATCCCTCAAAACTTTTCAGTGCCTCGAAATTGTACATTCAAAACTTTTTCTCACAATGAATAGGGCATTTCTTCAATTTGTCACACTATTCAATAGAGGGATCTATGATTCTGCTATTCTGGCCCTGATTAGAGCCGCCCACATGCAGATGACACTGCCTACCCCGTCTCCACTGATTCTGCTTTGCTCGGCAATTACTGGTTCTAACATTTCTGTACGGACCCAACGGTACACCTCTGAACCAGAGTGATTCTCTCTAAATTATACACGGTTGCCTGCAGTCGCATGCAACACCTGGAGGCATGAGAACAGTTCTCTGGACAATGTTAGAAAAATTCAAAGCAGCGGATAATAAGTTCATGGCTCAAAAATGATGATAGAGAGACACTGAGTTCAAAACTTAACTGAATAAAACTACCAAAGTGTTGCTGACAGGGAGTGGTGGTCTGTGTGTGTGTGTGTGTGTGTGTGTGTGTGTGTGTGTGTGTGTTGTTTGGGCCCCTAGGCTTTCCCAGGATGCTCCCTGGCCACCGCTTCCTGATACTAACTGACCACAGGAAGTGGGAGTAAAACTTCAACAAAGACAAAATTGAATACAATAAAGTTTAAAAAAACAACACACCAGCTGTCTGAGAATCCCTTTTCAGTTTTAGCGTTACAACACAGTGGTTTTAGGGTCCACGTCACAAAGCAGCTGTGTGTAAAAAACTAAACGAAAAAAAAACACAACATATTTTGGGAAGTTTTGACTGGGATTACAGTAGGACCAACCAAACCAGATCCAACCAGGTGTTGTGTAACATCCCAGACGGGATAAAACCTAAAAAAATAAATAATTAAAAAGCCCAAATCATTGGCAGAACGAGGGAGTAATACCGACACATGGACTGTCAATGAGCCAGTCCAGTAATAAAACAGTTTCAAGCATGACAAATAAGCTAATCGATCTATTCAGAAATATTTACTGGAGTTTATTCTTGCACTTTAGTCCAAAATATCTTCACAACATCATAGAAATACACAGATTATTATGTGCACGGGTACTACAAAGCAGCATCACCAGGATTATTTCATGTTTTACTGTCTGATAAAAGAAAAACTGCCCCAAAAGAAAGATTTCGTTAAACATCTTAACAAGGATCACAGAAGAAAGAATAGTTCAAGAATAGTTCATATCTGCTCACAGCTCCACTAAAAAGTCCCTCATTGACTCCTTAAGCATAACTTTTTTCAGAGAATGTCCATCATCTGCCAGTGAAATTAGCGTCCCATTTTAATAGATCAGAAAAAACACAGCTACGTGCAAAACTCCAGAAAACTTTAAATGAATAAAACTTGGCACGAATGGGGAAACATGACTAATCTATAACGCGATGACTTGCACTAATGAAACGCTGTGGAAAAAAAAGGGGGAATAAAATCACCCATACAATGCAAAGCAACCAATCATTCATCTGAGAGAAGCTCCTCGCCATTCTAATTAAAATACAAATCCAATCTCTGGTACGTACCGGAAAACAAGTCTTGTTAAGAGTTGAAATGCGGCCCAAGAACTGTCAGTCAGGCAGTGCGTAGATCATCTGCATGTCTCTGCTTCCAGCTAATGAGCCAAAGACGGCCCCCCCCCGGTGACCCCACAGCTGCTTTTCTGCTGAATGACACGCCCGTTCATGTATAGAAACATATATATATATATATATACACACACACGATCAACTCTATGTGCTTGAAGCCTTTTTTTTTTCACAGCTTCCATCAACTTGAGATCAACAAGTTTCCGGGAACATCTTGTCCCCTGGTGAGACACGGGTGGTTGACTGGCGCTTTGGTGTTTGCTTCAACATTGGGTCAGAGCAACCCCCCCCACACACACATATACACACACATACTGACATACACACACACACACACCTTTTGGCTGATTATGAGAGAACATATTGAAGCTGGAGGGGGGTAAAGACAGCCTCTCCCAGTCTCCATGGCAACCGGTGGGCCTACCGCCTTGTCTGGCAGACTTTAATGGTCTGTCACTGCTATGAGAGCGCCACGGCAGTCGGGCGCTGACGGAGTGGAGCCCGAGTGACAAATCAAGAGCTGCAGGGGGGGAGGAATTTCACCGCACCTTGATCTGGCTAAATGTTTTACAGTGGGATGTCATTGGCTTTTGAGGGTGGAGGGTGATTTCACAGCTGGGGAATCGAATAAAACCACTTCAAAGACTAAGAAAACTTGAGTATGTCATGTGGAGACATTCTTGAAAGCCTGTTTCCACTGTGTGGCCATGTCCCCGGAAGAAATCCAGCTTTCTAATATAGTTTACTTAAAAACTGACTGTTATTTATTTATTTTTCTATGGCGTTGCTTTATTGTACAGTGAAGGTGTACAAATATTTGAATATTCAGCATCATATGCCTGCTTTACAAGGGTGCGTTTGAAAACCCCAGCACCTTCAAACAGACCATCTAGTGCCATCTAGTGGACAAAACACATCACTACGTGCGACACGCAAAAAGTTAAACATGAAGTACTGTACATCGATAGGTACATTTAGATACTATACCATGGTGAAGTTTTACTTATTAAATTTTATACTGGCATTTAGAATGCTTTGCAAAAGAATTTGGACCTTATTTGTTTACCTGCATATTTAAAAAGGAAAGACTTTTGCCAAAACTGATGATGTAAGTTCCCCTCCCTGGTAGACATGACAGACATAAGGTATTGTTATGTCTGTCCTAAAATCCCCTCATCATCGTTTGTGTCAATTCAGCTGAAATGACACAAACATGGATCCGTGGATCGGTCTGAAGAGGAGCTGGTGAGCAAGGGTCAAACTTATTTAAACAGAGAAATAAGAAACTATTCGCTCGATCATAAACTGGAAGCTATTGAATGTGGCGATTTCTATTTCTATTTCTGATACATACCAAGACATCAAACCTATTTCTGAGGGGTTGTTTAAGGTTCCGCAGCCTGCTGTGCCTCAGCCTAAATTAGCTTTGTGAAAAAGACAGCTGTGCAGCACCTGTTTCACTTTTCAGTTATTTACTACTGTCCCTTCAGATGCCACACATCCCCAGTCAGGAAAAGGCTTCCAGTGCTTTCTGATTTGGTGGACGTAACAATAGGGGGTCTATGGAGACACCTTAAACATAAGACGCAATTACATCAGTCTTGATTTTATTGGAAACAAACACAAGTTAATGAAATTCAGTTTGTGAAATACCTTTGAAAAACAATACATACACATTCATCTGGTGGAGCAGCAAAACGGGTGACTTGAATGTAAAAGAGCAATAACTTGACATGATTCACAACAAGCTTTTCTGAATTTTGCTTCGGTCTGCTGAACCATCAAAAAAGAGGTACCTCTAAGAATGCACACAGTCCCTGGGAAAGCTTATATTACGCAACGGAAACACCAAACAGTCCAACAGGAGCTTGGCTGTCCAGTTATTGGACTCCGGGCTTCACTTCCAAGAGCCAGACTTGACCTTGGCCCCACGGGAGGTCTTGGACGTCTTGGAGCCCCTCTGATGGTCACTGACCCGGTTTCGGAGCACGTGGATGTCGTACTTCTGCCGCTTGAGCTTTTCCGCCAGCTCGAACTTCTGGGCGTGCAGCTGGTGGAGCCACAGCCAGAGCTCCTGCGCCTTCTCCGCCAGCTTCTCCTGGTTGAGGTGGTCGATGTTGAGCGGCTTCCGGCGCTCCATCAGGGCCTTCTTCTTCTCCTCGCGGGCCGTCAGCTTCTTGCCCTTCTTCTGGTCCACCTTCTGCAGGTAGCCGCCGAAGGACTTGTTGGAGAAGATCTTCTTCTTCTTGGCCTCCTCCTCGGCCCGCAGTTTGGCCACCTCCTCCTCGCGCCGGGACCTGTCCTCCGCCAGCCGGGCCTGGCGCTGGCGCTCCTGCTCGGCGCGTACCCGCTGCTGCTCGGCCCGGTCCGAGCGCCGGTGCTCGATGCGGTTTCGCAGGGCAAGGAGTTCCTCCTCCTCTTTCTGACGGTTGGAGAAGTGCTGCTCGATGAGCCCCTGGAGGTCGTTGAAGTCCTTTTCTAGCCTCTTGCGGTGGAGGTCATCAAAATCGACCTTCTCGCCATCAGGAAGCTTTGGGGGGGCCATGTTTGGCACGTAGGTTGTCTTGTGCCGGGGCTTGGTCCCCTCTTCGTGCTCGTTCTCCTCTGCTTTCTTGTCTTCCTTGTCATCCCTCCTATTTTCTTCCTCTTCGAAGTCCTCCTCACTCAACTCCTCTTCGTACTCCTCGACTATTTCCTCGGTGTCTGACATGATGGCGGCTCCCAGGGAAGCTTCTCACACGCAGGAGATGACTGAGGTCTGCGATGGGCAGGATGGCGGCTTTTAAGGGCTGGCCTCCATCATGTGACCATACTGCGACAGTCTCCAGGGTGTGGGTCAGCGGAAGGGCAGATTTTGAGACAGATGCAACATGTCTATTTTCTCCTTCCCCACCGTTTTGTCAGCCATGCACGCCCTCTTTATCCTCTTAAGACCCCTTTGCTGCCTACTTTGACCCTCTGGGACTCCTCATTCCTTTGTAAGGACAAAATGAGAGACTATTTCAGCAACACAACAGATGCACGCACATATTTGCACTACCCCGGCGCGCCAAACAACTCACAGTATAGTCCAGGACAAATGGGAGCCATACCTCGAAGGACCCACAAAGATAATGTTGAAAGAGTTAAAGAAAATTACAACCAACTGGAAGCCAGTATCTATTATTACCACATTTATTCTTCTTACAACGCCTGAATCATCTTAGACAAGCTATCTTTTTTTTTTAAAGCGATATTCAGGAATAGCTCCCCTGGCTTCTCTGGATATTGAGCTCCTTTTGTTTTATTAGACCTGTTGCCTCTGCTTTTCAGTCTAATTCTTGTGTACCTCAGTGTTTAGCTAATAGCTATCTGGGGAATTCACACTGTTGGTGCAAGAATGCTACTATATGTCTCTCTCACTATGAATGGTGCTTCTTTAAGGATGGAAATAAAGAAAAAGAGGTCACTTATTTGTTTGCTTTTTATGGCAGGCTCTGAATGAGAAAGTGAATAAAGATCGAGCCTAAAATTGCTTCCTTTCTAACTTGTTTGTGTTGTGTCGCCTCATCCTTGAGTTAGGTCCCTTTATGCCTGAATAATTCCTACAAAATACCCCTCTAAACATGATCAGCTGCAAGGGTAAGACTGGACATGAGCAAAAGAAGAGCAGACAGTGTCCAAATAAAAACTCTAAAAGACCCTGAGAGAAAACAGCATTTTTTTTCAACATTTCTGGATCAGTTTTATAACTCTAAACTGCACTGACGTAGTCAAAAACAGCTCATTATTCAATAAGGAAGGGACATTTCGAGACACATAGCAGCCGTAGTGAGAACGGCGATGAAGGACTGGCCTTAACAGTCGGCCCCGTCTCCTGACAGGAATGCAATTAAAAACATTCCTGTTGTCGGAGCCTCTCTGCTCTCAGCACGCATTTGCAATTGTCAAGACAACAACATTGATGTGACCAAACCTTGAGTCATCACACTTCGCATCCAGATTTTAAGAGATGATATAACTGATGCCAAGCAACAGGTGTCCTGACGCGTGTACCTCTCTGAGAGGTTCCTAATGTTAGGCTGCTGTAAAGGTAGACAGCAGACCACTCGAGTTTCACAGCTTTTGTACATTTTCTCGGGCTTTGACTCGGTGAAGATGGGGTCATTGTGGCTGCAGAGGATCAAAAAGGAAGTCGTGCTGCCTGTGAGAATGTCCAAAGCCTCTTTCATCCCCCAAGTGGACTTCCCTCTGCTAAAACATGCCTGTGAGCAACATGAGGACAGCAGGTGGTCCCTGTATAATCAGGGCACTCTTGGTTGGTACTATGAGGGACAACTGTGTCTTTCATCCCAGACAAGCAGCATAAACCTATTTATATCCACAGCCTTTGCTGCTTGGTGCAGCTCTGCTCTTCTATGGTCATACTCAGACTTTTTTTATATAGGTTCAAGAAACTGAGGTCTTTTTTACATTCACTGACTGCACTGGCCAATATAAACTTCAAGTTTGTTCAGTTTGAAGAGAAATACAGAGCCACTTCTTGGGCATTTCCAGGTTCACAGTGACACCATGTGGTTAAAACGGGGCATTGTGGTAAATATCCAAGACAACATGGATTTTTAACCATTGCATAAAGTAAATCCGTGCCATTGCACGATGTAGAACACAGAAGATACAAAAACAAACACATTTGCTTTTAATAAGGATGTATTTTGTATATTAGACGATACGTTGCACGCCCTTTTTCTGTATGGGTAATTAAGGTAAATAAGTGCAGTATTATCACTACTTCATGCCTCGTTGCAAAAAAACCCCAACACTTTTACATACATTCATATAGGGATTTTTTGTCCATACGGTGTTTATAATACTTTCTAATGCTAATGATGTTGTCTTCCGTGGAACAGAACTGGAGGAGAGCAGCTGCAGCAGAGGTTAGTCCGCACAGTTCAGTGGGTAGACCCGGAAGGCACACAGAGCATTCTGATTGGTCACTGGTTCTTACGTCAGAGGCGTCACCATATTGGGCAGGGCAACTTGTTGTGTTTCTCAGCGAAATGCAACCTTTCTCTGCGATACGGCGTGTTGTGACTGCATAAACATATTTTCAAAGCAAATTAGGGCTTTTAAAATTATTTCGCATAGGTAAGTTGCATTTGGCTCATGTTTCGTGAGAGTGCTCCGACGGACCATCAGGTTTAGGCTAGTAAGCTAGCGGTATCTGTCTGTGATTGACGTTTGTAATTACGTTTTTGTTTTGTTTTTAACATACCGTTTTTTACTGCTGAGTGTCAGAAACATTACTTTTTCTTTCTTTTTTATCTTCTTTTTAAAATTTTGTTTTTACTATTTGTTTGCAAGCTAACTGCCGGTTGTCATAATTCGAGAATTTGTCAACTAGAAAACATCAGTTTGACATGGAATATGTTTGCAACGGAGGGATACTTCCTTCTAATGTTAGTCTCTCAAATGCTTGCTTCTCGTACCCATTCTGTACTGTCATAGAGTATAGAAGTTTTTCACGTACTTGTATTCTCTGTTTCTTTTGTCAAGTGACAACACAGAGTCACCAGCGTCTCCTCACAGTCCGAGCTGCCGCCACAGGTAAAAAGCCATCACGACTGTCCCAAGGCGCATGCGCATACAGCACAAATTTGATGACACTTTGAGCCGAGCAGAGACTTTACATGCATCTTAAGGTTTTGAAAGCTTCTAGGCTTTAATTTATGATAATTACCTGGGTTTATTTTGTGACAGTAGCGCAACAACTCATCAAATAATGCTGAAAAGAAGCTGACTTTGGGCTGTTCTGAGCACTTATTAAGGTGCGAACTGTGTGAGTACATAAATTATGAATATTCAATTAGCTGAATATTGAATTGAATGTGAGCTTAATTCTTATTCAATTTGGCTAGCACCATGAAAGTAACCATATTTTCATTTAACATCTTATTACTTACCAGTAGTCTTACTGTTCTAAGCAGAAATATGTGTCTGATTCTTTAACATTTACCCTCTCATGTCTTCCCCAATTTCCGCAGCTCTTTTTTCCCCCATTCCCTATCCTTTGTGCTGGAAGCCTCAGCTGGAGTCTTTATCAGTCATCTGTTAACCCCATCGCTAAAACCCAGTACCAAGGCAGAGGATGGTTCCAAAAAGTGTATCATGGGATATTGGCCACATAACCAGAACAATGTCTTATGAATCAAAGAGTGATAATGACAGAGTGTTGTGTCCACTCAATAGGAAAAACTAATTTAAAGTAACTTTGCAACAAGCAACTTGTCGGCCGATCATATAACTTGGAACTCGTTATCTACAAAAATGCCAAAAATACAGCAGTTTGACAGGTATAAAATAGTATTTTTGCACCAAGAGGGGTTTTCCCAAAGAGATATTAGCCGGAAACTTGGCATTTCTCGGCATGGAGTGCAATACGTCCTTAAAAAGTTTGAGAAAACTGGAAAAGTGACGGACAAAAAAAGAAGTGGCAGGCCTAAAAAACTGTCTGCAGCAGATGAGCAGTACCTGAAAGTGTTGTCCTTAAGAAACGGGAAAAAGTCAAGCAAAGACCTGACACAGGACCTGAAAGATGCATCTGGACCCTCAGTTGACCCATCTACTGTCCGTCGAAGCCTCATCCGAAATGGTCTCCATGGAAGGGTGGCTGACAAGAAGCCACTGGGAAAAGGAAACAGGGAAAAAAGACTAAGGTATGCGAAATTACACAAGAACTGGACTGAAAATCAGTGGCAACAGGTCCTGTGGACTGATCAATCCAAATTTGAGATATTTGGTTTGAAATGTCAAAATTCCCAAAGAAGACCAGGAGAGAAAAAGAGCAGAGAATCTGTGCAGCCACTCGTAAAACAGACTGAAGGCGCTGTCACGGTTTGGGGCTGCATTTCAGCCAGCGGTGTTGGGGACCTTGTAAAAATCGACGGAACTATGAATGCAGAGAAGTACAGAGAGATTTTGGTCAACCATGCAATACCATCCGGACAGCGTCTGATCGGCAGCGGTTTCTGTTTACAACATGAAAGTGATCCCAAATGCATCAACAAGGCAGTAAAGGCATACCTGGATGAGAAAACACAAGATGGAACCTTATCGGTCATCGACTGGCCTCTCCAGAGCCCAGACCTCAACATTATCGAGGCTGTGTGGGATCACCTTGATAAAGAGCGATACAAAAGACAGCCGAAATCCAAAGAAGAGCTTTGGGAAGTTGTTCAAGAAGCTTGGAGAAGTATTCCTGAGGACTACTTAAAGAAATTAAATGACAGCTTGTCTAAGAGGGTTCAGGCAGTGTTGAAGAGTAGAGGTGGTCAAATCAAATATTGACTTCCAAGGCCCATTCGAATGGAAAATGTTTTTGTTTGCTTATGTTTGCACATGTATCAATAAATCTCTCAATCCTTCTCATATTTTATCATCAGAACAAAGTTTTGGCCGGCTGAAGAATTGTTAAAAGTATTGAGCAGTATATTATTGCAAATTCGATCACTTAAGTTTAGGTCATTACCATAAAACTAATAAAAAGAAAGTGTTAGGCTATAATTGCACTGCAAGACTCTACTTTGACATTTAATCCTAACTTTAGCGCTCCACAATTATACAGAGATGGGTTAAAAAGAATTAAGTACCCATATCATTTTTTTCCGAGTTTTTTTACGGTGCTACTATTTGTTTAGATAGCATGGAGGTGAATGAGGTGCACAAAATGTGAAATGTGCGTGTGGGAGAAAAAAAGAAAAAATTAGGCCAACACAGTTGCTGTAACTTCGAATGGATATTTTAAAGGTAAGGATGTCAGGCAATTGTAGAAGATGAATTAACAAAAAACATATACCATGAGGCGATTTATTAACAAAATGTGTAGGAATAACTCCAAAACGTACGTTTTTCTACTCATGCCTGATACTGAAGCACAGCCACGCAGCATCAATATTAATCATTTCTCAACTATCTAAGGTTTTCAGCCACTGGAGACAATATATATTATCTTAGTGGCCGAAAACATGGCTTAAAAACAAATCGGCTACGAAATATCAACCCGAGGATGCTTTTTTACAACTGTTTAAACCGTGATTTGTGAGTGGGTGCCTTGTTCGTTATGGGTAGCACGTAGCACGGACTTTCGGTTTGCCTCCTCCGGGGAGGCTGCCGACGGTCACGTGACTCTGGGTCTCTGGCCCCGCCCACCTGCCTGTGTCCTGTTATGAAAGCGGCGCAGTGGGTGTGACAAAGGAGTCCGTCAGCAGCGAGCCCTCAAACCGGTAAAATACCCCGCTTTCTCGTTTGCTTTATGACAAAAAAACAAAACAAAACAAACTACTTGGCATGTCGTGTGGCCGTTGCGCTTGTCTGTGAGTGGTGTCTGTGCTGGAGCTGTGCGGCTGCGGCTGTCCTTGCTGTTTCACAGATATATAACATGCACATGTAACATCACATGCGTCCACCAGCTGCCGGGGGGAGAGTGTTGGAGTGGCGCTCCTTATTTTTTCTTGTTGTTGTTGTTGTCCACGTATTCACAGTCGTACAGCTGAGAACTATCCGGGGCGTTAAATCCTGTGCCATCGTTTAAAAGCAATTGTCATTTTTCCAAAAACTTTGACGCTGTTTGGATTCTGATGAAAAGTGAGTCCCACCCGGAGGTGATGAAGCTCTGTCACAGGTCACAAGTTAAATCAGGTGGACGGAATTGAAGAAAAACGCACTGGGAATGTGTTTGGACCCTTTTTATGTATCTATTTGGAACATCAAAATAACCAGAAATAGACTTTCGGAGATAAGCTAATCCATTTAGATCTGATTTATTCATTTTTTCCAGTAGCTCTAAATAACATTTTGTGCTTCATTTGCCTAAGTGGCAAATTAACCTTAAAAAAAAAAAGAAAATTGTAACAGAGTCAGAGTCATGTGAAAAATGCAGAATCAGTGTGTATAAAACTAAGTCCACCCTTATGGTTGGCAGTCTTCCCTGGAGTGGCAGGGAAGTCCCGGCAAGTTTACTCCAAGGTGAGAGCCTGCAATGCTCTGGGAAAGTAAAAAAAAAACAAACAAGAGCAGCATCTCAGCAGGCATCAGTTAGAATGTGAAAAGGTACCATTCATGACAGTGCAATTAGAATGGGGGAAAAAAAAAAAAAAAGCCTGATATCTCTGCTCAGATTAGCTTCACTGTTCTCACGGGTACGCTTTGGTCCGCAGATCCGCCGCCATGCTCCGTGTCACCACCGCCTCTCTGTGCTCCTCCTGCCAGAGGATGAGGCTTCTCCTGCCTTCGTCTGCCTCCTCCTCCTCCTCCTCCTCCCCCACCTCTCTCAGCAAACGCCTGGAAAACCAGCGCACCGTGGACTCCCTCTACCAGCTGTCCGTGGACGTGAGGAAGGTGCGCAAGTTCAAGGCCTGGGTTTTGTCCGAGGGCACGGCCTACGTGTCCGAGACCGCCGACCTGCTGAAGGACATGGGCGCCGACACGCCCACCGTCGCCGCCATCCTGGAGACTCACCCCGAGGCCGTGCTGTGCCGGCCGGAGGACGTGGCCGCCCAGCGGGACCTGTGGGCCTCGGTGTGCTCCGGGCCGCGCACGCTGCTGGGCATCGTGGAGAAGTTCCCGGCCTCCTTCTTCACCGTGACGCACCACGGCAACCAGCAGGCCAACATCCTCTACCTGCAGAGCCTGCGGCTCAGCAAGAGGATCATCAGCAAGCTGATGGCCAGCGCGCCGCAGAGCTTCAGCCGGCCCGTGGAGCGCAACCAGGAGGTGATCCACACGCTGCGGGAGACCTACCTGGACCTGGGCGGCGACGAGGGCAACCTGCGCATCTGGCTGCAGAAGCTGCTCAGCCAGAACCCCTACATCCTGCTGCGGCCCGCCGAGGCCTGGAGGGACAGCCTGGGCTTCCTGAGAGAGAAGGGCTTCACCACCGAGGAGCTCCTGGGCCTGGTGTCCAGCCTCAGGGCCTCCATCTCCGAGCTGAAGCCGGCCGGCATGCAGCAGGCGCTGGACTACCTGGAGGGCGCGCTGCTCTGCTCCCAGGAGGAGCTGAAGCGGGTGGTCATCTGCTGCCCGGCCGTGCTGTACTACTCGCTGCCCACCCTGGCCGGGCGCTTCCAGGGGCTGATGGACGCCGGGATGAGCGCGGAGCAGGTGAAGGAGGCGCCCAGCGTGCTGGAGCTCACCACCCAGATCGTGATGTACCGCATCCAGAAGCTGGCCGCCTACGGCTACGACGTGCGCTCGGGCAGCCTGGACGTCATCGTCGGAACCAAGAAGGACTTCGAGCAGAGCTACAGCCGGCTGAACCTCCGGCAGCAGAGGCCGCTCTTCAACCCGGTCGCCCCCCTCAGGACGGTGGATTAGTGACCCCAGGCTTCTCGGACCCGCTCATCGTCCAAACAAAGCGCCTGAAGGAGAACTTTTAAGAGGAAGGCGGCCCATCCGGGCCGGCGGATTCAGAACGTCGGTGCCCTGCTGCCAGAAAAGAGTCGGAATCCCAAAGGTCCAACAGCACCGACCCAAAGCCAACTTCTCTGCTTGTTGCCTTTTATAAAACGTTCTATGTATTTAAGGTTTTACCTGGTGATGATGCCTTTGAAACTAAAACAGATTTTTAAGCCTCACTAGAATCGTGAGCTCACTGTGTTTGAGGACTTTTGTGGTTCTGCTAAAAGTTGAGTAAAGGCAGACAGACGAAGGAATACGCTGTACGGAAACGAGTGCTGCTTTCTGTAAGACACAACTGTAATTAATGGACCTGAAAGCGGACGCTGGGCAGGAGAAAAACGGCAATAAATTTGAGGTGTAACGCTGTCGATCCTCTGATGTTTAAATATTAAAAAAAGACTCCCTTAAGCAATGGCCATGTCAAACGCTTTGAAGAAGAGACTGAAGGCTTTGGTATATTTAAACCGGTTTTAATCAAACAAGCACATGGGTAAGGAACAATATGCATGTGAAGCAGTACATGTATTTACTGGGGACGGTACGGGTGGGCGGGGGGGGTGAAGGGGGGGATCTGAATCTTTCTCACTTCTACTGACACGGGCAAACAGCATGATGGGAGTAGTTGGATGGAATGAGACAAGTCCACAAGTACCGAGACAGAGAAACAATCTTAACACTTGTGTTTTTATAGATATCCACAAAAAATGGCTCCAGATAGAACAAACTCGGCGGGGGGGGGGAAGAGAGAGAGAGAGGGCAGGTTTCTGGATGAGAAAGAAGCTTTTCTCATTAGTTGTTTTTGTTATGATTTTTAGATTTTTGTATTTGTTTTTCATTTTATTTATTGAATATCTGCCAAAAGAAGATCCATCCATAATAATTTCTCATATCAAAAATATATATCAATGGGTCTATGGCTACACAAAGAAAGAGAGCACACATACGATATCCAAATATGTACAAGTTGTATGTGAGCCGCGATTAGCAAAGTCATTATGTACACCGGACGCGTTAGTCCCAGCAGTGAGAGCGGCCCCTCCGGTCCGGTCAGCACCGGCCGGGCCTCGCAGTCCTCGTCGTGACAAAACAGTTTGTGCACTCGACAGATGTGTGAATGTGTTAAATGAAGGGGTCAGGAGGCTTATCCTGAAGGTGCGTTCATGCATCGCTGTGGTGCTGCTGCATCCTCTGAGTCTTACGTGTTTTCTTTTGGCTGTGACGGCAGATCTGCTGGAACCGCCTACAGGTGGAGGGGGACAGGAAAAAAAAAAAGACGAATGTAAAATATGCTAAGAAGGCATAAATCTAAAAGTTTTGAGAAAAACGGAAAAATGATTTCCACTGATTCCCCCGCCCCCGACATCGATTATTGGTGTCAAATCTGGAGACGTATAATTCTGGAGCTGGAACGAACCCTTTAGTGCCTGTTCTGCCTTTGGATTTTGGAGCCTCTGCCATGCCCAGAGTCCTCACTGTGCCGTTTGCCAGTGGTCAGACTGGTGGGGTGATGCTCAGATCCTGAGAAAAAAGAAAAAGGTTTCTTTTAAAAGTTTAAAGGAAGGCCATTTAAATCGAGCTGGTCCAAAGAGGACTGTGATCCAGTTTCGTGTGTTAAAATCTGAAATGTGTGTCTTTACCATTCTGAACCGTCAGACCGGGGATCTGCTGGGCGCTTTGGGCGTAACACATCATACTGCTATTGGAGTAACCTGGAAATTTGGGAAAGAAAGAAAGTCACCAAAAGGAAACAATGTCTGGCTTTGAGAGCGTGGGACAGAACGGTGAATGAAAAGGTGCTGTGGCTGCTGGTGCTCACCCTGCTGGAGTGCGCCCATGTTGGTTTGTGGATCGCTCTGCATGTACATCATGACGCCGCTCTGCCAGTCTCCCTGGGAGTGAACCGGCATCTGATAGGCTGAAAGACAGAATGGAATCGCATAAAGCATGCTTTTTTTTGTTTCCTTTTCCTTTTGTTGTTGTTGAGAGCTACACGGAGGAATCGACACATTAAGGAAAGAGGGCGACCCTGGGGCGGGCAGCTTCCATCCTCTGTCCCTCAGAGGCATCAAATATAGAGCGAGTCGTTTGTCCTGAGCTGCTGTGACCTCGTGGACTGAGGGAAGGCTTTGCCTGGCTCTACGATCCAGAAAACAGTGCTGAGCTTTATGTTCCCCAGCGGAGTTGGTGTCCAAAAGCTCTTGGGAAAACTCATTTACGCATCTGTGAGGGCAGCATTGATGCAGAAAAGTGGAAACGGTGTGCTGCACACACAGCTGACGCAGGGGAGGGGAAGGAATCTAAGAGATGTGAGCATTACTAAGTGGACTAAAAGCTGTAGCCGCAGGCTTCATTTAAACTGACTTCTCATTCCCCTGTCCTCCAAAAAAGGCGGAGGGATTAAAACATAAAAAAATTTAAAAAATCACTTACCAGATGGAGCTGCGGCCTCGTGGGAAGCTTCCACGGGGAATCCCATCCCGTCTGTGGAGGCCTCGTTGCCGTTGCCGTTGGAGTTGGATGGAACTGAAGCCAAAAGGCCTGCAGAGGGCAGAGCAGACAAGGCGTTTAGTCCCTGTTGTGCTTTGTGTGTTGGCGATGGGAGTGAGGACGTGCCGGCGCCCTTACCGAGGCCCCGGTAGCAGGACAGCTGCTGGTAGATCTGCTTCATCCGCTCGATGTTGAGGCGGCTGGCCTCGGCGTGGTTCACCATGGGCTTCGGGTAATGGACGCCCACGATGCACCTCGCCGCTTTCTGCACGGCCTCCGGCGCGTTCCAGGGGTCGTAGATGTATTTGGCCGGAAAGCCCCGCAGGATGGGCAGGTAGCGCCTGAGGGGGGAGAGACAGGGACTTTAAAACGGGACGTTTTCTGTGGAGTGGGAGCCCAGTGCTTCAGTGGGTGTTCTTTTACCGTATGTAGTCTCCGTTGGGGTCCGTCCGCCGGCCGAAGCTAACGGGGCAGTAGCAATGGAAGAACTGCTGGAAGAAAGAGCTGCAGGAGAGCCACATCCAGCTGCCCGCGTTCACGCTCCAGTCTGCGTCCAGCAGCAGCTCCTCGAACACCTGAGGAAAGACGCCATGTTAGCTGCGAAACCAAAACCGAAACAAAAAAAAGCTTCAAAACCGAAAACCGAAAACGACCCACCTTCATGCCCTCCTCCCAGCTGATCCACAGGTCTCCTCTGGTCAGGAAGCAGGCCACGGCGTGCCTGGCCAGGTGGTGGATCCATCCCTCCTGCCTCAGCTGAGTCATGATGGCGTCGATCCAGGGGAAGCCGGTCCGGCCCTCCGCCCACTTGGCCAGGGCCTCGGGGTTGCGGTCCCAGGGGATCTGAACGCAGATGGGGTTGCTCTCCATCTTGTCGAAGCATGGGTTGTTGGTGGCCGCCGTGTAGAAGAACTCGCGCCACAGCAGCTGGCCGTAGAGCGACAGCGGGGGGGAGCTGTTCTTCTTCACCTGTGTGGAGGCGTTTTTGGTTAGTTTCACAGGCTGATTACAGCAGATTCAGGGTTTGTGGCCCTGTTTCTTTTAAAGAAAAACACTAATCTGTCTAATTGACAAATAGTCCTCCACAGGAGAGGGAGTAACAGGCAGCGCTGAAGCACAGCAGACAGGGAGGACGCCTAGAATTTTTGTCCTTAAAAGACCAAAACAAATCGGTATGAAAGGGCAGCTTTCACCCGAAACAAATCCGACTTACTGCTGCCTATGCGGACCAAGTTCTGCCAACCATCGTAGAGGGACAGCACAGCTACACCTTCTTAAAATCAAGTTGCGCCTTATTTCTGATGCCAATCATACAAATAACCCTGTAAACATTTAATTTTGAATGTGTTTAGCACTAGCTTAGAGGCAACGGCCACTTTGAGAGACAACTTTTGCTGCACATGTGCTAACCAGTAACTTTTCCGCGATCACATAATGAATGGGGGCAAGCGCCAGTTAACAATAAACTGCAGAAAAAATGGACTTAAAGCCGAGATTAAAGTCTGGGGCTTTCTGCTATTATAAGTCTGATAAGATCCAAGAGTGGACTTTTGTTTTCTTCGAACCAGTAAAAAAATTTCTACCAGACAGCAGACAATGTAGTCCAAAACTACTGGTCACGATGGTAAATGCTTTCAGATGAAAAGTAGGATGACTGAAATACCAGCGGGAGGGGGGGGCGGGTAAACGGATATCTGATGTTTATGCTGTCTAATGATAGCCGAATGGAAACAAACGTCATAACTTTCCCAATGATGTCAAACGGCACAAATAAACGAGAGTCGTGATGGTCCAACCCGACACATCGAACTAAAAACAAGTCGCAGTGACAGGCTGATAAATGTCTGGTAAAAACATTTTCCCATCTAGAGGAATTAAAATCAAATATATCCAGGAATCCAGAGAAAACATATAACTGCTGGCTTTTGTCTTTAAGGGCTTCACAGGCCTCCTCCCGACGTACAATATACAAATAAAATGAAGTGTAATCTGGATCTGTTTGCGCCCCCCTGACCCCTAAAAAAAGTGTCCACTTGCCTTCCTGTAGAGGTCGGTGAGTTTGAAGTAGAAGAGGCGGCAGGAGAGGCAGCCGAAGCGCAGGTAGGGGCTGAGGCCCGTCGGGCTGGCGAGCAGCGAGTTGGCGTTCATTCTGGGACGCTCGAAGTTGGCCACCCACGCCTGTGGACAAACCCGGCCACGCGGTCAGACATGTAACGGCTTCAATCGAAGCTGCCAGCTCTCTGAGCTGTTTTTTTAAAAGTTTTTTTTTGCTCTTTTGTTTGACTGACCTTCCTCTCCAAATGCCTCTCCAGGCGCGTGAGGGCCTCGGTTTCTCCTCCGGGCCACACAGCTGAAGACAGTCCCTCAGTGTCGAAACCTGCCAGAGCCACAGGAAAACCGCACGTTTTTTCCTCCCCTTTCTCTTAATCCTTAGACTACAACAGCACTTTTTATTTTAAGATGCTGTTACTCTTTTCACATCGAACTCACCCAGCTCCTCCAGGGAGGGGACCCCGAACTTGTCGTCGTGGTCGTCGGACAGCGGCGTGGTGCACTTCCCCATGACCTCGGCGGTGATGGCCTCAGCGGGCACCTCCACCGCGTCCATGCGGCTGATGAGAGTCTGGAACCGTTTGTAGGTCAGGGGAGACTGGCCCCCGTTCAGCTCTATGATCCTGCGAGGCGAGAGCGGGAGGAGGAGGCGGAGGGTCAGAACGCCGCGTTGGCACAAGCCGCGCAGCCTTTGGGCCCGGCGCCGCCTCGCGGTTTTTGATCCACTCACTTGTCCAGGTCGTAGAGCGTGTGGGAGATGCGGACTGTCACCTCCACTCCAGCCTCGGAGGCCAGCTTCCTGATGGCGGCATCTCGCTCCTTTCCAAAGGGCTCGGAGTCGTACTCGTAGGACAGACGGGTGATCATCCACTCCTGAAAAACGGGAAGTCAAGACGCACATTAAAAAAAAAGTTGCACGCAGAAGAATGTCAAGCTTTCAAACGGAATGAATGAACAGAGCAGTGGTGTGGCTAAAGCCGGGGGGGCAGTCACCTTGAAGAGTCTGGGGAACACATCGGTGGGTTGGCCTCGGATCACAAACAGACGCGAGTTGAGCTTGCGGAGGCTGGAGTCCAAGTCCTCAAGACTCTGCAGTAAGAACCTGCGGAATTACAAGTAGACGGGAATCAAAACCTGAGCGAGCACGCTTAACGTCCGATAAAGATGCCCAACTCCTTTGACCATAATTTGTGTGTTTGTTTGGTTGTTCTCAACTCAAACAGGTGGAAACACAAATGTTTGCACCTGTTACACAACAACACCAGTCTTCTATGTAGAGGACCTACACAGGGAAGTCTTTTTTTCCCTTTTTTGGAGGGAACAAGCTTTTCTTTTGCGTTCCATATTTATGCCTTCGTCATAGTGATATTGAAAAACAAAGAAAAAAAATTATACAACAAGAGATAGATGTTAAATTTAGGAGACAAAAAAACTATGGCTGAGTCATCCTGGATACAAAAAAAAGGGTCAAGAGACAGCCTTTAGAAAAACACAGAAGAAAAAACCAACACCTTGATCACCAGTGATGTCACATACGATGATGTTGATGAGGGCCTGCGTAAAACAAACGACTTGCCGACCCACAAGGCGTTTTATTCCTTTACAACCATCTAATCATGGCGTTGAACTGCTTGCTGGTGTATAATTTGGGCTCTGCTTCTGTTTACAACACCCCCAAAATGAGAACTACCAACCCTACACATCAGATCACATGCGCACACCCCACAGGTACACGCATGCATGCAAACGGAGCGGCGCTAATGCGGTGCATCCCGTGCTGTTGCCGTAGAAACCAAAGCTGGTGGGCGGAGGCTTCCTGTATCGTCCAGGCCGACTCGTGTCTTTGACTCACATGAGTCCCGGTTGCCGTTTTCTGCTGTAAACAGTTTTGATGCTCGTATTTAACTTAGAAAAAAAGCTGTCTGCCTTTTTTCTGGGAAAAAAGGGGGAAAAAAGAGGCTAAATGAAAGTGGAAAATACAGCAGAGTGGAGTTGGGACAGCAGAGTGGAGGAGGCGGTGATGCTCTTCAGCCAGATCGGCCATGTCGGCGCACAGCTCAGCGCCACGCGGCAACAGCAGCCGTTTCTCAGAACCGATCAAGCCGAAAAAAAGCCATTTCCAGATCCGGTGTTCCTGCATTCGGCGTCTGGAAAGAGCAATCTGACATTCCCAGCCTTTACTGGCTATAAAACCTGGCCGAACCCCTGGGACCGGGGTCCAGGCCACCTGCCGCTCTGCTGACCCGAGGCCCGGCGGGCCGCAGCAGAACCAGACCCGGGGCCGCGTGGCCTCACTGATAACGGGCGTCCGGTTTAAGCTTTTGTGCATCTGGCCAGCTTACACTAATCTGTGCGGCACAAAGGAAACCCGCCTGCCACTGTTGTTCCCCACTCATCTCCCTCTGTCCTCTGACGCAGGACACGCCCACCTCATGTCTTCTACAAACGCCAGATCCACAGAAATTACATCTGCGGAGGCCTGACAGTCTTTCATAATCACGCTGAACCGGCAAAACCGCGCCGGGGAGCTTTAATGGCTCCCGTTAACGAGCACGGGGCGGGGAACGGAGCTCAGATGGAAAGCTGGGGTCTGCCGCGCTGGCAGGAGAGCCAGAAGTAGGTCAAAAAGATGGGAGGCTCACTTGTAACACACTGACCTACTTTTGCCGTGCCAAAGAATGTCGGAGGGGTGGTGGAAAAAAAACATTCACCGCGACCGTGGCGTTCCTGCGTTGCCATATTTACACAGCAACGCTCACTCATTTGGGCGAGGATGGGTGGCGCGTTGGGTTTTTAAAGCTTCTGTCTTTCAGCAATTGAATCTGGGTGTGCAGTGACTCAACAGAGAGCTTCAGGTTTTTTTTTTAGCATAAACATACATCTCAGTGAGATGAGAAAGGAGTAAACATACTGGAACAGAAGTTTTAGAGTCCAGGTTATTTGTGCTAAGAAAATAAAAAAATTAAAAAAAAATTTTTTAAAAACTGACGCAACATGAGAAAAGTGGGGAGGTCTGTAGAAGCTCAACAGATCAAATGCACGACTCTCCCTTCCTTCCGTCACTCCAACAGACATCATTTTGCTTAGTGTGCATAAGGTTTTTTTCCATGGATGTGTGCTGATGAATACAGTAAATAGGGAGGAAAAAAACTGGATGAATCAGTGCGTAGTGCGCGGGCGCTGCGTCATCCCAGGCCAGAGTTGCGTAACAGAGGGAAAAAAGAACATGGATGCTGGTGACGGGCCTTCCCTCGCTGCTGCACGGATGGAGATGGGGAGCACTGCAGGACCGGAGCGAGCAGAGGGAGCATCTGCTGCCCTGTGAACCTCTGGGGTGTGTTGGGGGGGGGGGGGGGGGGGGGGTCAAACCTGCCAAACCAAACACGGCAGTTTCCACACGGCGGAGCCAATTTGTGAGGTTGCACAGAAATAAGCGCCTGTGGTCGGAGATCAAACTAAAGGGGAAACGGGGGAAAACCTTCCCCTGAACTCCGACAAGGTTTGAGAGGCGCGTGGGAAAAAAAACACAAAAAAAAAAGTTTGTGACTGACTGGTAAACGGTCCAACGGTTTTTATTCTTATCTGGACCACAGGAGGCAGGGGAGCTTCATATACATTCTCTGTTCCTGTGCTGGCTGTCAAATAATCACACACACACAAACTAGCTGCCTGATAGGGAAATGTCACTTACATAAATTGTCCGTCTTAAATCACATGCACCCTCTTAACTATAGAAATGTGACACAATCCAGTCCTCTGTCTATCTGAGAGGCTTTTCACCTGCCTGTTCAGGCCGGGAGCCAGTGGCAGTTAGAGGGATAGAAACAATGTTGTTCATTTGGTATTCGCAGCTCCAAGTCAGACCAGAGGGGGGTTAGGGGGAATTGGGGGGGGGTCCGTCCGCAGCAAACTGAGGTACCCCGATTCAAGTGACGACTTGGGGACTCGCTGATGTATGACATCACATTTTACACACGGCAGATTCGGTGACCTACTTTTGCATGGTCTCAACACGGCAAAACACAGTTTACCTATCTGGGGGGAAGTACAATGATATGACTTGTTGCTGCGCTCTGTTTACCGTAGCCCCATTTAATTGAGTTAATTGGTGTTTCTTCTGTTTTGCTGACTGGTGATTATTTGCTGGAAATTACAATGTGCTGCTGCATGAAAGGACATAAAAGGAGCTGTGCCACTCGGTTAGATTAGAGACAGTGAAGGCTTTGCCTGTGTTACATCAGCTATGATTTAATACTTAAAGCTTTGACGGCGTCACCGTCAGTGAATGTGTGAACTATTAAAATTGGCAGACCTGAGAGGGTAGACCACAGCTCAAGTGTCCACTCACTCTCTTCCTTCTACGTATTTCCCTTGAACATATACAACAGAGCCCTAATAAAACAGCTGAAATCTGCTCGCATCTAATATGTAGCAGCACGAATCTCTGAAAAATGACAATAGCGGACAGATGCAAAGCAATGGGGTTTCAGGTTTATGGAGCCGGAGGTTGCTTTGTGCCTCTGGCCTTGTAATCCTCAACTATCTCATGCAGTTTCCATTCTAACAGCCGCTTCACAATTAATTTAGTCTATTAAACCTGTTTTTTACAAGCCTTGTGGGGCTTGTTTTGTTTAGCCCGCAACTAATTCTGGTCTCTTTTTCAGGCCGTCTTCATTTTTGAAGTCTTACCTGCATTATTAGTGATAATTAACTGTATTTTACTCCCGTTTTACCTCAATTTCTCAATTCTCTCTCTCTGCATGGATCTGCACCCTATTCGTTTTGTGGTTTATGACACCAAATGCAGTACATACATACATATTTCTCATGTCAGACAGCATTGCCCTGCAAGCTGCCAGATACTGCAGGCAGGTAAAGTTTTTCTTTCCTTTCTCAGTGGCAAAATGATCTCATCAAGGATAAGTGACGCAATGAACCTTGATCATTCTGACGGGTCACAGTTTGAAAATGACGCCTTCCCTGACGAGCGAACGCATTTTAGTACACATAAGAGATAAACTCCACAGTCACAGTTCGTCAGCACTTCCAGTGTTTTGCCTCTTCAACAATACCCAAAAGGTGCCCGGGCCATAAAACAACGCGTCTATAGTGTTTTGTCGGACCACCTTTATCTTTGTTTGTGACACATGTGCGCCATGATGATGATGATCAACACGAGCTCATGCGGCGTGATAACATTAGTGTCCATCCTAAACTATGTCTATTTTCACCAAGATTTGGTATTGATGATGAGGGAGTCGAACCACAGTGCAAAGTCCCCCCCACCCCGAGCGCTTTCCAAAGATTTTGCGTTTAACGTCTGTACTCTTAGCTGCTCCTGTAAAAGTCCTCTCACACGTCTTCCCCAATTAATCCCGGCTTACATTTGGGAATATAACCTGGGCCCCTGCAACTGACATGCTGGCTCAGCATCTTTCCATGATGGCAATTATCTAAAACCCAGTAGCAGTTCTTCCTTTTAATACAACACACTTATAGTTTATTCTATCAATAAAATAGAGAAAATAGCCAAAATTAAATGTTCCAGGTCTACGGTAGCCTCTTCAAAATGCTGGGAAATGGCATAAGTTTTTCCATAAAGTTACACAAACAGCTGCAATCATGAGGTCACAGTGGTACAAAAAAAAAGGAGTTCACTCTTTTCTAAATATAATCACTGGCATTGTGATACATTAGCTGCTCTTTGAATTCGCTGACTTTATATCTTTTACATTATGACTTATTCTAACTTGTACCATACACATATTGACGGTTTTTTGGTGCTGTTGAGCCAGTGATGGCACATCTGCCTTGGTCCCGTGTGTCACGTTGCTTTGCTCACCTCCACCTGTTGATCCCAACGTTGGAAGATCCGGCGAACCAGGGGTCGAGGATGTACACGCAGCGGACGGTGTCCGCTCCCAGCAGAGATTCCTTGAGCGACGGGTTGTCGTGGAGCCGCAAGCCCTTCCTGAACCAGTGGATCGTATTAATGACCATTACTCAACTGGACGAGTCCTTTCTTCCTTTTTGAATGAGTTCTGCAGTCTTTTAGTGCTCACTCTTCACAAGTCCGACTCGATGGCAGTTACAGCGCGTGTTTTTTCTGAAGATATGTCCAGCAATGAAAACAGTTTAAAAACAAAAACAAAAAACAGGAACGCAAGGCCACAAGATGATCCAAACCGTGTGAGACAATGTCCTTCGGATACAGTCCTTTGACTTCAGAGATAGGGTCCGACTCTGCTAATTAACCTTGCTCCAGCAGAACGTTTTCCATAGTGTCGAAGAACCTGCAGACCGCTGGTCGCTGAACCATTTGGGCAGGAGGCAGCGCGCGCTCGCTGATAACGTGACAGCTAATCCGGCGGGCTTTAGGACCTGTGTCGCTGATGAGCGGACGCCCGGTTTGTTGTATAACTTGTTTTTCCGATTGATGTAAATGCGGCTAAATGAGCGTGCACCAAAACTCTGAGCTTGACTTACAATTTTCGTACATTACACGAGAATGACCGCATGACACCACGATAAACCGCTCAGTAATTTGAGGCAACCGGCGTCACTGACGACCACAAGACACCGTGGCAAGAACAGGCTGCTCCCTACCGCGAACACCGGGAAAACGGGTTATATAAACACGTATTCGATGGAATTCGTTGCCCTGTGTCCTACTAGAGAAATACTTAGCTGTGTTGAACTCCTTCGCTTCACTTTTCACTCGTCTAAATCGCTGTTCGGCCGATGTTTGGGTGGCTGTACGAGAGAGATTTTCCTCAACGTCCACACGAACCAGTACCAGCTCCACCTAGCAAGCCGCACCTACCTCGTGACTCCGCCTACTGGCCTCGCGCTGTGCCCTGTGATTGGTCGAGAGCGCTCCGTGCGTGTGTTGGCGTGGTCACGTTTTTGCAGCGTGCTCTGCTCGCTCTTACGAGGCCAGGCGGCCAGCATGTGCCGACACTGGTGGGGATGTTACGGAACGGTGACCTCGTTTTGGGAGCATCACTGGGCGCCACTTAGTTACTTGTCAAAGCTCTGGCATCTCAACATAAGCCGTTGTCATCACCTCATATATACTCCTATATACTGAAAAAAAACACAAAAATAAATAAAATAGGTGAATAAATCCTGTGTTTTCGTTTTGATGATAAACAACTTCCCCACCCCTCAAAATATCAAACGTATATACAGAGCCTTCAGAAAGGAGTGATATGTTTACAAAAGGACCCGGATCAGCACGTGAAGTCAAGCGCGGGCATAACACGTCACCTGACTAAGCTCGTGTTGAGGTGCTTCTCTGTCCGAGCGCATCGTGCACGTAGCCCACAAAAACATTGCAGGGACGTTTTGCACCGTGTTGACCTAAAAATCAGATGCTCTCTTTTTAACGCATACACGCAGACCTGCTGATGCACGTCGTGCACGACTGTGATTTTTGCGAGTCTCTTTTATTTTTTGTATGGGTCAACTACCTTGTTATCTGAATGACCCAAACTTTAACACTGTTATTGTTCGATTTAATATAAAAATTTAAATTAAATTTTTTTATTTTATAGTTATATAATTACTTAAAATTTAATTTAGTTATTTACCTATACATGCTAATGCATTAAACTTTCTGCATTACATTATATTATATTAATCACATTATATTATAACATATCATATTATATCACATTATATCGTATTATGTAATGTTATATCATATCGTATTATATATCTAATATTGAAAATATATAAATGCGTCACACGTCTTACATAAAGTAGCTCATAAGTACAGAACGGACTGCCTTGGCAAGCGGGTGTAATACTACATTTGTACAGCAGGCGGCAGTATAACACCGTGCGTTTATCTGTTGATAACTTAAACCCAAGCATTTCAACAATAAAAATTATGTTCTCACATATTGCACTCTTTTTCTTTCAGCTTTTTCAGTTGCGATAACATTCTAGTCGCAATGTTGCAGCAAAAATGGTTATAAAGATTAAACGACAAAATAATGTTAAAAAAAGCTGTAATCAACATTAAAATGTATTGTAATTATGATAGGACAACATTAAGTCTTCATTTGCAACAATATGTGCTGGCTGTTCTTTCAGTCAGTTTTAAGTTATATATCATAATAATTGTAACTCTCTGCAGCTGGAGAGACACCTATGGCTGGGCCTGAATTCAAATAAACATGACTCATGACTTAGATCCCAATCACATGAAAAAATAATTTGGTTATTTCCAACTTTCTTTAATCATTGCATTAATTTATTTATTCAGTATTGCCAAAAAATCGTATAATAGTATACCATACATACTTTATGGTATACTATTATATTATATGTATTATCTATATATGGTATTATCTTAAAATGAGAGAAAAAGGGGTTCTTGATACATAGATTTGTTGGTAAGAAGCGCCTGAAACCTGATTGCTAATCTACAGATGACAAAAGTAAGCCAATCACCAAACAAATCATCTGCACAACATGGCATGCCCTTATTCTGCCGGGGAAATACTGGCAAGCTACCGTCTGGCTTGAAAGATGTTACCAAGCAACCAAGGCTTTAAAAGTGAGGATGGCCTCCGGAGCCCTGCGGTGCATTCAGACATGTAGCTGACAGCTGTCCACCTCGACCACTGTCACCTGAGGAAGTCAGTGGGCCATGTGACCTCCAGTCAACGTCACAGACTGGAACATGAGGCATCTGACGGAGTCGCCTTTACAGACGTTAAACATCTCTGTGCAAATTAGGTGTGCTTTATGCTGGAGGCACGATTTCTTTCCATGACAGAATTTTTTCCCAGACTAGTCCTTCTCTGTGAGCTTTCTACCCCCCCACCCACCCACACAACCACCCCCATGCATGTTGAGGCATGCAAGGTAAATAAAAGCAGACACTTTAAATTGTACATCTTGCAGTGTGAAACTGCCATTTACCTGAAGTCATTCAGACACAATGTCTGTAAGATATACAGTCTTGATCTGTTGTGTGCTTTCCCCTGTGAATGGCTTTAGCTATACCATGTGACACGTGGGCTTATTCCCCCCCTTCATTCTGCACATTTTTAAGGCTCTGGAATGATGCAGAATCACATAAAGAAAAGATGAAAGGGCCTCTGGCATGGCAGGCAGCGCGGACAGATGGTTGGTCCGGCTCAGCTCAAACTCACGAGGAGAAGCCCCAGCAGAATGGATGAATCATCATTCCACCAACTGTTCCCCTCAGCACGTCCTCAGAAATGAGCTCGCACGCGCTTTGTTTCGCCAAAAAAAGTCTTGCATTACTGGGAGTGAAGTGCAGCACTGTGGGGAAGTGGTGACGGAGCTTTGCACAGGACCCCACATAAATGCAGTCATGGATGCCCGGGTAATCCCCAAAAGTTCTGTGCATTTAAACAGAGAGATATTCATTAAAAACAAACATCAGTGGTTTGGTCTTTAAGAAACACTAGCTGCCCTTTTACTTCCTACCTAAAAGCAACCACTGGTGGAGGAAGACAAGCCTGTGGGGGAAAACCTGCAGAAATATTGTGTTTTCATCCGATGTTCCAAAAAATGAAGGATCAGTAGAACATTTGACTAGCTGAATAAGACGGATGAAAGTGAAGTTGTCTTTGAAGCTTAACACATTGGCTCAGACTGTGACATTTTTTAATTAGGTGAGACTGGGAGTAAAGCCCCTGAAACCCCTGAAACTGGAAGCAGCAGTGAAGACAGACACTCGTTCTGCGCATGCTCATTGGGAGTGCAGGACCAGTCGAGTAAGAAAGTAAAATGTACTTTTTCCTATCTAAAGTTAAGAGGAATGGGAGTATGTATTGATATATCTGATAAGGGGGGCTTGAAATGATACACTTGCAGAAAAGTCCCTCAAAAATGTTATTTCGTTTTGAACCATCATCTTGTTAGATTTAATAATATGGTTCTATCTGTATGCGCAATTGTATTCATTAGTAGAGTAGTCAATTATCCTCAAGCAGAGCTATAATTAATAAACAAGACGTAAACATTTAGTCAGACTTTAGAAAAATCACTTCAAATCTCAGATGGTTAGATCTGAGGGTCGGGTTCTTGTTTTTTTTTTCGTCGTCTCAGATGTAAATCCTCTGTCTTAGTCGTTCACCGTCAGGAGGAATCCTCCAGCCATGACGCACCATTGCAGCTGCAAACAGACAGCAAACAGACTGGCTGACGTTTTTCCAGGCTCGTGTCTCCTCTTTTAGCCCTATGGTCATGTTCCATCTGCTGCCAGGTAGTTTCTGCCTACAAAAACGACGAGCAAAAAAAAAAAAAAAAAAACAGGTCGCAGGTACCTCGTCTGTGCCAGTCAGAGCGGAGTGGGGCGCGGATTGGCTCTCTGCAGCCCGCCGGGTGTCCGGGCTCCTCCTCTCTGCCGGAGCCCTGCCTGCGCTGCGCCCGACGCAGTGAGCGCGGAGCTTTTGTGCGCTCTCAGGATACGCTGATGAAGTTGGGGCGACAGGAGGTAATCGAGGACATCCAAGACACTTACAGAGGGTGAAAAAAGAAAAGGAAAAAAAAGAAAAGAAAAGTAGACTCTCACTTGTTGGCGTTTCACTCCTTCGGCACGCATTTGAATCCCACGGACGGCGGCGGTAGAGGAAAGGCATCCAAAAACGAAGATTTGTGGCATTTAACTGGGAGACCAAGCATACCCAACAGTATGCGGTGCAGCGATGGCAGGCAAGGGTAAGACAGTCGTGAGGACGCTGGAGGATTTAACGCTTGATTCGGGTTATGGTGGAGCCGCGGACTCGGTCAGGTCGTCCAGCGTGTCGCTGTGCTGCTCCGACACGCATCAGTCCTTCGCGCATGGGGGCAACTGCTGGCATCTGACGGAATCCATGCACAGCAGACACAACAGTTTGGACACGGTCAACACAGTCCTGGCGGAGGACACGGACGTGCTGGAGTGCTCGGGCCAGTGCGCCAAGCTGCCCGAGCTGGAGGACGTGCCATGGAGCCTCGGTGAGGTGGAGGGCGCGCTGAGGAAAGACGAGGAGCTGATGGTGGGGGAGCCGCCGCCGGAGGTCCTGGCGCGGCTCTCGGCGCTGGTCAGCCGCGCGCTGGTCAGGGTGGCCCGCGAGGCGCAGCGGCTCAGCCTGCGCTACGCCAAGTGCACCAAGCACGAGATCCAGAGCGCCATCAAGGTGGTGCTCTCCTGGACCATCTCCGTCAACTGCATCACGGCGGCTCTCAGCGCCCTGTCCCTGTACAACATGAGCACCGGGGACAAGTTCAGCCGGGGCAAGTCGGTGCGCTGCGGGCTGGTCTTCTCCGTGGGGAAGTTCTTCAGGTGGATGGTGGATAGCCGGGTGGCCCTGAGGATCCACGAGCACGCGGCCATTTACCTCACCGCCTGCATGGAGAGCCTGTTCCGGGAGGTGTTCAGCCGCGTGCTGCGCAGCGCCCTGGTGGAGAGGGACAACGGCATCCCCAAGTTTACGCTGGAGTCAATGGAGCAAGCCATCAACAGCGACTCCGAGATCTGGGGGCTGCTGCAGCCCTACCAGCACCTCATATGTGGCAAGAATTCAAGCGGTAAGGGAAAAAAAAGTCAGGATAAAATAGCATTCAAAGGGAAATCGTTGCTTATTTATTGACAGGTGAGGGATTGTGTTCAGCTTTGAGTAGGAAATCCAGCATAAGACTCAGTCAAATTAAGTGTCCCCTTCTGAACAGAGAAAAGCAGCTCTTATCTCCTGTGGATGCCCACATGTTTAAGGAAATGTCTAGAAACAAGTGGCTGCGACTCTGAATGCTGGAGAAAGGTGACTCAGCCGAGAGTGATGAGGCTTAAGGGAGCATTGATTCTTTCCTTTTCGAATCAATCTTCACTTCCTGTCTTTACTTCCAGTTTCAATGAGCTTTTAAGGTGTATCTGGTTGAACATTATAGAGCCCTTTTTGGGTAATGGGATGTTTCCAGATCAGGGAGGTATACCTGTGTGGTGATGTATTTACTCCCCTAAACAAAAGCTCTTGACAGTTTTCCATCCGCAGGTGAAACCTTAAGGCCATCTTGTGAACCAGTCTCCGCCTATCTATCTCAGATAGATATTTATGGCTGAAAATGATCAAACAAACTCTGTCTCCCTATTACAGTGAGCTGTGTTCCCAAACTGCCGTTGCAGGCATGTGTGCTAGTGAGCGTTTTGGACAGCTTGAGCTGGTGCATCATGCAGTGATTGTGCAAACGCAGGATTTGTGTTCATATTGTACATTGGCCTTGTTGACAATGGTGCTGTGTCACTCCAGAAGGTGTAAGCTGTCAGTGTGGGCCGGTCCTCTCATCCAAAGCCCTGAATGAGTTGGCTCAAACTATAAAGCAGAAGGGGGCTTGAAACGCTCCTCCGTCTGAGAGCCAAACTGCAACGCCGCGATACTGAGCAAAAAAGAAAACCCACGTCGCACCTCATTGTGTCCTTTAGTGCTTTTTCAAGAGAGAGGAGATCCTTGAATGTGCCCATCTATTGTCAAACAATACATACACTTCCTGGGGAAATCCCGGGAATGATTTACTCTAAATGGCTCCTGTCACAATATGACGTGATCTTAAACCTATCAGTGGGGGCATGGCCACATCTCTGCCTGCTTATTGGAAATGTATATCTCACACAGACAGCTATGTGCAAGTGTTGAGTCACCCATCTTTTTTCATAGACTGCCAGGAAAACAGGAAATAGGCCCAGAAATATGTTGAAATATCCACAATATTTTAGAAATACAATGTGGACATCATTTGTAATCATTTTATAAGAATGGCTTCTTGTCAGCCACCCTTCCCTGGGGAGTATTTTGGGCGAGGCTTCAGGGTGCAGGAGAGGGATAAAGTGAGGATCCAGTAACATCTTTTAAGTCTCTATGTCTGTTCTTTTCTTAATAACATCCACCTTTAGACATGCTCCCAGATTTAAATTATTTTTATCTGCCTGCCAATTCCTGCTTTATCCTCTATTTGTCCAGTTTCCTCCATTTCCTTTGAGAGCACACTGCATGCAAGTTGGGATTTACAATGTTGTTAGCTAAATTTATTTTATTGTGGAGTTGTGATTGTTAAACTGTGTTGCTTTGGCATTTTTTGGTAAATGCAAATTCAGAAATGAGAACACTTTTGTTATGTGACCTTGTAAGAGGTGCAGCAATCAGTTCTTTGAGAAGTTGTCCGCTATGTCTTAATTACTCAAAACGGCTTTATATGTTTGAATGATTCACGAGAAATCTGGAATGAGAACTTGACTGAGAATGAGTGAAAAAGCACCCAATGCTCCTTAAAAAAAAAAACAACCTTAAAAATCTCAAGAAAACCCAAAGACCGTTTGCCCAAGTCAGCTTTAAAGGATCACAAGAATGTATGGATCATTGGAAGCAAATTATAAAGGAATAAGCAGCTATCCAGTCCTTTTATCACAGATTTGAGTAATCTCTAATGTACAAAGAGGTAAAATGGTTAACCGATAGAAGAAATGTTCAGATGAGATGTCACTGAACTCGTCTGAATCCTCCTGATAGTGGTTTCCAGATTTATTTATGGCCCAGGAAACAAATTGAGGCAGTAATAAAAGTTATTATTTGGTTCTGACCCTTTCAAACCAACCAACGATCAATAAATAAGCCAGAGCTACACATGATCAACTGCATCTTATTTATTCCCGACCCATAAAAAAACAAACAACATTGATATTCACTGTCAAACGACATCAGTCAGTGAAAACAGCAAATCCCAAACTGAGATTCGTCTTTAGTCAGCAGATTCAGGGGAGGCAGCTGCCACCGGAAGTGGCCTTCCTGGTTGCCACGGCACCGATGGGATTCGTGTTCAAACCCGGTGGACTCCTCCCTCGCCACACGGCTAAATCTCACCATGACGTCAAGCCGGGGTTGTTGAGAAAAAACTCTGTAGGTCTTCTTATCTCAGAGATGTTGCTGTGGAAGCTATAGACAGACCTCGGAGGCAAAAACGCATCCCACTCCATTCCACCTCCATGGGCTGCATTGTGGCCTGGTGGTGCAGAGGAGGCAGAGAAAAGAGACGGTGAAGAAAACACGAGGGTTTGAGAAATGCTTTTTCCCTTTTCCCACCCTGAACAATTTTCTTTATGCGAGGCATTTTTCCTCGAGTAGCTCCGCGGTGCCGGCTTTATTAAAAGAGCAGTCATGGAAGACTGAGCTCTCGGACCTTGGGCCGAAATCCGACATCCGCTCGGGGTAATTGCGGTTTCTTCTCCTTTGTAGTGTTAATGAAACGGCGGGACTGTGAGTAGCAGAGGGTGGGAAAGAGAGCGGGGCGGCCCCTTGGTCTCGAGTTTGAAATTTCACCTGAGGAGCAAATGGCCTGCCGCACATAATGACGGACTCCCACGTTCCTCCCCGCTCCCGCCGCCACCGCCGCCTCGCCACCTATGCGCTCTGACTAATGAGCTGCTGACAAACTCAAGCTTTCCTTCTCTGCTGCTTGTTCTGAGGTGCACCCTGTTCTCCCGTGAAAGCACTTTCGAAACGACAAGATGAAAATGCCAGGCGCGGAAAAGAGACAAATTTAGACCGTAGATTAGGATTGCCTTCATTTTATCGGCTTCCATTTTCTCACAAATTTCCAAACCGGCTCTTACACCGACGCCGGTCTCACCTCAGGCCTGAACCGTTATGTGGGAGGAGATTTGTTTGGTTAATATTTTATCAGGGAAGTGGATGCATTTGAGTGGGGCTCCACTGGGACCTGCGCCTGGTGGCCATCCGTATCTCAGTTTATTGCACTTCAAAAACATCAGAAAACATTTTTTTCCTCAACAGCCAGTCTATTATTGCCCCCCCTATCAAAGCATCAAACTTTACCGGCGACATAAGGACATAGGCTCATCCATTACAGCTGCATTTTTTTTAGAGCAACTTCCATCCATCCATCCAACCATTACCATAACCGCTCATTCCTTAATGCGGTCACAGGGGGACTGGAGCTTATGCCAGTAGGTGAGAGGCAGGGTACACCCTGGACGGTCCGCCGGTCCATCGCAGGGCAACACAGAGACACACAAGGACAAACAACCACACACACTCACTCCTATGGGCAATTTGGAATGTCCAATCAACCTAACATGCAGGTTTTTGGACGGTGGGAGGAAGCCGGAGAACCCGGAGAGAACATGCGAACTCTGCAAAGAAATGTTCTGGAAAGGAATTCCTTTTTTCTTTCTCGGCCGTCACGTAATCCCCCCCCCGCTGCGTTTGTGTTTATATAAGTTGTTGCACCTTGCTATCTTCCATAACTCCTATTTGGCTGCCTCTCAGGGAACCACTGACTGGCTGATCTTTTCCGGCCTCCTGTGGTGGCCAGCCTGTGCCTCTGTTATATATGAGCCTGCTGTCAGGATTGAATTATTTTCGAGGTTTGTTTATCACTGCCGTTTCCTGAAGAAAATAAAAAAGAAGCGGATCCGTCATATGAAATATTGAAAGGAGTAGAACAGCTATGCAGATATTTTATAATGTCTTTCTGTAAACGTCTGACTATTCTCAGTTGCTAGTTGGTGGTTTTGTCTATGTGCTGTTTGCTACTTAACACAGAGTGCACAGGAGCTGCTTTTTTGAGGCTATAGGTGTGTGCTGCAGCAAGTTATACCACTATAAGCATGTAGAGAACCACAACTGTGAAGCTGGGGCCTGAAAACGTGACAAAAAGTGTGTGGAAACTCACTGAAAAGCTCCCAGCGCTGGGACAGCTGCAGTTACAGCGAATTATCTGTATTCATCACAACAAGCGATACCTTTAGAGGGAATTTGGCAAAATATCTATTATGGCCTCTAAGCTCTTAACTGTGTGTTGGGCCCACAGTGGGCACCACCTGTATACCTATACACAATCACAAATCCAGTTGCTGTTTGGTTTGATTTTATGCAGCTGCTCAGCGGAAGAAGTTCAAGACAGTTGCCGTTGTTGAGAATGTATCCAAAAACACATCAGAATTACTGTATCCCGACTGCTTTTAGGTTTCTATTTCATATGTACGCATACAGTGACTGACATAAACACAAAATATGAAAGTAAACTACATAATATGGTGAAATAGATTCTGAAAGGGGAGTAATAAATCATTCAGAAGTAAAACAGCACTTTACGAATTAGTGCATTGGTTCTCATAAAGCTAAGATGGTAATTATTATGCCGAAAATGTTGCTGCTAATCTTCTGTTATTAGCGAATGTACCACTTTGAATGTTAATGTACATTCAAAAGATGATATTTACTTTCAATCTGCAGAGTTTACACTAAACTTGACAATTAATGTCCCATCATGAAAAATGTTTCAGTGTAAACGTGTTAGAAATGTGAACACGTCTCATAAAAACACAACACTGGCAACTCAGAGTATGGTCTCCATCTTCCAAACCATTCTGCGATGGTGTTTAAATTTGGATTTCTGAGTGATTTGATTGTGTTTGATTATGCCTGTCATTTACTGTGACCTTCCCCAAGGAAGTGGCCCAACCCTCCGCAGGACAGATGACACAACATAATGGGATTGCGTGGCCTGCCGTAGTCTGCCTCCTAAATTAGCAGCGCGTCTGGTCTCCTTCCTTCTTCACTCTCAGTCTTTCACACCATATTTGATTGTTTTTTCTGCTGGGGGCGGGCTCTGTTTGCATATTTGTTTTCCACTGTGGTTTTTAATAAGCTCAACTCATAACTGCATGATCCTGGCAAAGCCCCTTGCTGTCCATTCTGTTATTATTTTTCCGCCTGTCCTCTCTCTTCCTGGGGGTGGGGGGGTGGTGTGGGGGGGGACTCCCAGATGAGCCGACAGATTGTTGCCTTTCTGGTGGAGAAGTGAGTGCTCGGGCGAGTGAGCCGGGTGTGATGGATTTTTATGTTGTGGTAATTTTATCAGGCCAAAGGCTGTGCCCACTGCCCGTGCATCCACTCTCAGCAATGATCGGTGATCGTAAGGTTATTTCGGAGCCAAGGTGGATTTTTACGAGCTGCGCCAGCTTTTCCCTTTCATAATCTTCGCTTTAAATTCAGCGCTTGTGGGTGATTTCCCTGGAAGGGATTCCAAACAGCCGCATAAATGAACCGAGACCTATCCAAAATGTTGCGGTTTTATTACTCTTATGTCACTGGAGCTCTCTTTAATTCCCAGAAAGCTGGGAATATCATCTCACCCTGGGAGAGGGTGAGCTGATAAGACAAGTGTGTCAGCGATGAATGCCTAATGCAGTGAGAAAGTCAAGTGCAGGGAAAAGCCAGGCTGGAGTGTCAGCTGGAGGAAGCGATGCTGAGAGGGCTTTGGCGCAGGTCCCTCAGAGATGTAATTACCATGTAGATCTGTTTAATTAACACTCGCGCTTATCTTGTGGTCATTAAGATTAGAAATTAGTGAAGGAAAACAGAGAGAGCTGCACAGGACAAAGATGATAATTCCATTCATAATAGTTGCCCCTTGCTCAAAAGTACGCATCGGTACAGTTGATCTGATCTGTCCGAGGATGCATTGGGAAATATCTCCATGATGCTCAGACTTCATGAACCAAAACGTCGTATCTCAACTTTTTTTAAATACGTAAGACATCTCGACAATGAAAAATAAGATGGCTGTTCTGATCGGTTTTTTACTTCATCGCTATCTCATTTCCCTTAATCCTTTCCCTGTCTCTTGAAAAGGCACATACATTCACCAGCATATGTCAAAAATAAACTTTCTGTTTGAAACATTTACAGAAATCACAGACACTTCCTGACCTGCTGTACCTTCTACATACTGTGTCAAATCTATCTTTTTCCCCCAATCTACGACTCCATTTTCTCAACTACAGCTTTATTCCTAATAAGCATTGTTAGTTTTTTAGCATATAACCTATTACATAAGAGAAAAGATAAATCTGTGTACCAGTTGAATGCAATACTAGTGCACAAACTGGATTGTGAAGTTTGTGCAATTATCTGTTCTGACATTGAATAAAGGCTGAATCATTACTTTAATAAGCCCAACAGCGCATGCCTACTAAGGATCGGTGTTCTTCGTCTTAGCATGTTTGCTCTCATCTGGGAAGCATAAGACAATATCGGGGCGTTGTGTGAAAGATTTGTCACACCCATGCCGCGTGGAGCCATGTGCTGTGTGTGTTAGCAGCTCCATCTGTTGACCTTGGACCTCTCTATGAGCGTGATATTCGAAGAACAGTTGGCCTGTTGGTATTTAGAGGCATCTGCAGTGTATGTCACTCACACTTTAAGCACATGGGAAAATTGGGGGCGCAGTATCAAAAATGACCTAATTGTGGCATCCATGTTTGACAAATGCGCTGCAACTATGAGTCTTGAATTAAAAACAAACAAACAACTTTTTATGTTGCTAAATGAACTGCGGAGAAAGTAATGTTTAAGAAATTAACCTTATTTTTAAAGCAATCTTAAGGTCCCCCAGTGTCTTATATATATTTTTAAGTATAAGACACTGAATGCAACATGGCACAACAAAACCTTGGAAAAGGATCTAGTCAAGGCACTAAAACAAACAAACAAAAAAAGCCAAGAAATGAAGAAGCACCCAATGACTTTACACTGAGCAGCTGTTGTATGCAGAAACAGAAGCCTGATTTGAGTCAAGAGCAGGAAACTAACTAACGGGGATTAACCCAGTGGGCGAGAACTGCAGGGTAAAACGTCAAGTGAAATGAACCAGAGTGCACACGAGTTCTGAAGGCGGAGATGAGAGGCAAAAACACAGCCCTACTCCAAAAACCAAGTGAAGCAAAAAAAGGCAAGACAACAACAAGGTGTCATTAACAGTCTCACAAGTGCTCTTTCACATTCAATTCACCCAGATGACAGACGGGGAAGTCATTCTCATTGGTGTTTGACAGCAGAAAAACGTACGTTTCACTTTCAGTTTGACATTATAGAAAGATGTTGTTTGATTTTCACTTCTGTTTTGTTTCAGCTTTTTTTATATCTGCAGTGATATGGAATAAACTTTTGGCAAAGCCAAACCAATGCTTTGCCAACAAGCCTCGTTTCATTGGGTCTTTCAGAGTGAACGGCCGAGGACAAAGAGCAGCTGAACAGAACACAAAACCAAATTAAAAGCGGTACGTGATGTTGAATCACGCAGTCACGGCCACGGGGTGTTTTTTTTTTTTCCATCAGAAGGGCTGCAACTGTTTAGAAAACCACACTGTACCTTGTCAGTTGAGGTGCAGGTTTCCGTTACCACACGGCCCTGTCTTGTCACGCTGGGCCAAAGGGCTGGTGCCTGTGCTCTTTAGGGCTGCTTTTGCTCACTTTTTTTTTTTTTTAAAGGCTTCACAATATCAAGTCTCCTGAAGAATCAGGAAACAAGTAGTTTCGAGATTCATACTCTACGACTCAGGTTAATCGACCCCAAGCGTAAAGTTTGGTTTTCTGTAACGTTTATGT